TGGGGTGAAATGTTTCCTTGCCTCCCTGAGCCCCGGGGTGGTGGCCTTGGAGTCATAGGGGCAAATTCCACCTCTCGTACGAGAGGTCATTTTGGCTCCCCCAGCTGTCCTTAGAGGCTCTTAGGCCCCAGTCACACGGGTTGGATATAGTGGGGTCGGCCGCCCGAGTACACGTCCCAGTCGAGGTCCCGTGGTTAGGGGGGAGATGCCGACCAGACGGGTATCCTGCAGCGCGGCACAGAAGCCGCGCCACGCGATCGCACTAGCAATCGCTCTTTGTGCGCATGTGCTGTTGGGCCCTGTTGCGCAACCTGTGGAGACGGGCGTTGGATGCCACATAAGTCCACCGGAAACTCGATCAGACGCCCACCCTTGGCCCGCGGTTTCTGGAAACTAGTACCTCGTAGGTACTAGTTTTTTAATCGGCACCTTCAGTGGGGAGCCACGGGTTCGCCACGGGAGCACTGCACTTCCCAGATGTTGGAGTGTGATCGTGCCCACAAAATCCGTGGGACTCCCGTGCCTCTCCTGCAGCAACTTTGCCATGTGACCGGGGCCTTTAAAAAGTTATGGCCGCTGTTGCTTTCAGCCACAGCTGCAACCACCGCGGGGGGTGGGGGAGACTGCTAAGCCGCCCTCCCCGCCTTTTTCAGGCTCCACACCGGAGTGCCAGGCCTGAAAAACGGCCTGCAGAGCCGCCCCCCCCACCTTCAGGCTTCATGCTAGAACGCCAGGCCTGAAAAAGGGCCAGCCAAATGTCAATTTCAGCCCCATTATATCCTATGGGCCACTGAACTCAATTGCGAAAACATATGGTATATTCTGGGGGCTGGAGGGGAGGGAGTTTGAGGGAGAGGCTCCAAAATCGCAGGGTAGCTGCTGAAGCCTCTCCCCAAGATACTAACCAAGTTTAAAGAACATTGGACCAGGGGGTCCAATTCTACGGCCCCCCAAACAGGTTGCCCCTATCCCCTCCATTGTTCGCTATGGTGGGAAAAAAGTAACATTTCCAGGAATGAAAGTAAATGGCCTGTCTTCTCCAACACCCCTCACACACAACCTTGTCTGCTATTTCTGCGCTCATTCCAGCACCAAAGCAACTCCTGGGAGAACAGCAAGCTGACTACAGAGGGGAGAGAGCCACCCAAGAAAAAGAGCACGCCTGCCATCCTGGGGTGGTGGTGGTGTTGTTCCCCTTTCTATGTAGCCAAGTGGTCCTCCTCTGGGCACCTCTGCAAGTCCCTCACCCAGACTGCTGTGCCTTGTGCAGAAGAAGGCACAGAGGGAGGAAGCCCTTCCCCTCACTCCAGAAGATACATGGCTGGCTTTCAACGGTGGGGAGGACAGACCAACTAACATGCCCAAAAGTACCTCCAGTAACTAAAAATGTTGTAAATACATACATGTCGCTCTTTTGGTTGCTGGTAACTGTGAATGGTTGGGGTCGCCATGAGTCAGTTGTGACTCGAGGGCACAGTCGTTTTCCTAATTGTGAGTGTGGCTTTTTGTGGCCCGGAGCGAGGCCCGTTTCTAGCGCAACCCTTGGAGGCCAGCGTTGCGAGGTAAGACAATGGGCAGAGAGCCGCGCCTGCTATCTAGCTGGCCTTCTCCAAAGCGGGCTGCGGAGGGGACAGCTTCTGCCCCGTGCCTCCGTCCGAGCGTGGCTCTCGGCACCGCAGTTGCCTGGCTGGGCTCCAAGGCGGCCTTCTGCAGAGGAGCTGCGCCCGCAGGCCGCCTTGCTAACCGAGGGGGGCTGCGCAGGAGGGGCGCGTCGCGCTTGTGCCACTGACCCTGGGCTGGCCTCCAAGTCGGACTTCTGCAGAGGGCCCGCCTCGCAGGAGGGCGCGCGGGGTGGCGAAATGCCGTGAGCCGCCCCTCCGAGGGGGGCGGGACAGGCCAGCGCAGCAATATGAGCAGCTGCTCAGGGGCAGCCGCCCTCCGGCTCTGCGAAGACAGATGGGGCGAGCGCCAGAGTCAGCTCCAGCTGTCAGCGCGGCGCCCTCCTCCTCCTCCTCCTCCGTCCCCCCGCGCGCCCCCGTCTATCAGCGCCTGGCCTCGGCGAGGGAACCCATGGCGTCCAGCGAGGAGGACGGCGCAGGCAGCGGCTCGGTGGAAGAGAAGGAGGCCGGCAAGAAAGCGCCTCGGTGGCGCCGCGCGGTGACTACGGCCTGGCTCATCTTCTACAACATCGCCATGAGCGCGGGGTGAGTGAGCCTCGGGCGCGCTTCTGCCCACGCCGGCCGACCGCCCGGGCCAGCCTTCCCGGGCTGCAGCTCCTTCTTCCCCAGGGCGAGACACGGGGACGCCTCTCCCCACGCGAGTCCCGGTCGCCGGGCCCCGGGTGCCTCCGGTCTTGGGGAGGGGAGAGCCGAGCGGCGCGTGGGGGCGAACCGTCGCTTGCCTGCATTGCCTAATACGGTGCAAGCCTTCCAGCAAACGCGAGGACGTCATCTCTCCAGCCCGCCAGAGAGGTTAAGTTAATTTACTGCCACGGCCGCCCAAGGCGCTCACACACGCGCTCCCTGAGCTCGCCTCCGGGGTCCCCTCCCATTCACTGGACGTGCTTCCTTCGGGGCTGGCTGCGCTGGCCAAGGTACCCGGGGTGCGGGGGGGGGGGGGGCGGCGGGAAGAGTGGAGAGGGCCTGCCTCCCAAGCTGGCCAGAGGAGAATGAAACAGGTAATGGGCAGTTTAAAAAAGAATATCCGAATTATAGGCCGCCCTCCCCAAGAACAGGCTCAGGGTGGCTAACATCAGGGCACGCATGCCAGTACCTAAAAACAAGATAGAACAATTAGTTACCAAATTTACAAATTAAAGTGCTCCAAGATGGTTTGAGATAACAGTCTTCCATTTGGTAGATGGTATCAGGAGGATATTTAAACAGTTCTCAGTTCAGTGGTCTCTGTGCGCCATAGTGCTGCAGTTTCTTTGTCGCCGGGCCATTCCAATACCCCACTGTTGCCAAACTCGTTGGTAGTGGTGGCGGCGGCGGCTCCTAATTGAAAGCCTGGCGGAAGAGCTCCGTCTTGCAGGCCCTGCGGAACTCTGCAACATCCCGCAGGGCCCTGATCTCTTCCGGGAGCTCATTCCACCAGGTAGGAGCCGCCACCGAAAAGGCCTTGGCCCTAGTAACAGCAAGTCTGGCCTCTTTGGGGCCTGGGGTCACCAGTAGATGTTGCGTCCCCGACCGTAGTGCCCTTGGGGGTATATATGGGGAAAGGCGGTCCCTCAGGTATGTTGGACCCTGGCTGTATAGGGCTTTAAAGGTAAGAATCAGCACTTTGAAGCGAATCCGGTATGCTATTGGCAGCCAGTGCAGCGCTTTCAGCACAGGACAAATGTGCTCCCATCTAGGGAGGCGCATCAGGAGCCTGGCTGCAGCATTCTGCACTAGCTGCAGCTTCTGGATTTGCGACTCTCGGATGCAGACTGCGCTCTGATGTGTTTTCTTTAGGAAAAAGCTCTTGCCACAGATGGACACATGGCAAAATGCACATGTGCATACCTATGGTTATATGCACACACTGCAGAAGTGTGTGAAGTAACCTTCAGATCCCCAGGGGACACTTTTCAATGGATGGTGAAGAAGGCAGGAAGAGCTAGACTGTTGTGATGATTTTTTTCTGGTTCCTGAAATGAAAAGTTGCCCTTTTACAGCGGAGTGTACAAAAATGGGGAATGTATGTGGAGTCTATGATGGCTGATAAACAATGAACACCCAAGCATTTTCACACATGCTGAATAAATGCACTTGCAGTCCATTTCCAATGCGTATTGCAACTGGATTTTATTTTTACTGTTTGAAATAGCAAAAACCATTTGCAAACTTGCTAAAGTGCAATGAAAAGGGATTGAAAGTGCATTATTCAGTGTGTGCGAAAACACTATTTGTGATAAAGGTAAAGGTTCCCTTGCTCGAAAGCCAGTCGAATCCGACTCTAGGGTTGCGGTGCTCATCTCCATTTCAAAGCCGAAGAGCCAGCGCTGTCCAAAGACGTTTCCGTGGTCATGTGGCCGGCATGACTAAACACCAAGGCACACAGAACGCTGTTACCTTTCCACCGAAGTGGTACCTATTTATCTACTTGCAATTTCTTTCTTTCAACTGCTAGGTTGGCAGGAGTTAGAACTAGAGATGGGAGCTCACTCCATCATGTGGCACCCGGGTCTTGAACTGCTGAACAACTGACCTTCCACAGCCTGCAGTTCAGCGTCTTAACCACTTGAGCCACCGCAGCTCCTTTATTTGTAATAAGCATCCCACAAAAGCAAGGCCACCATTGACAATTTCCATTCGCAGGAAGAATCCTATAAAGAAGAAAATTCAACACGTTCCCCCCACCCCCCAGAAAGAGAGAATTTCTACTTCCCCTTGGCACTAATGTTAGGATATCATCAGTTGTGCATTTTAGGAACTGAAAAACACTCTGACCAATCCTTTCCAGAGTAGAGATATCTGAAGGCTGATTGGATAATGGATGGAGAAGGAGGGGGGAAGAGCTGCACTGTCATTGTGTCTTTTTCTGGGTGCCGAAATGGAACTTTGCCCCTTTAAAATGGAATGTCAAACAGACCAATAATGGCAGGTTCATTGTGGTTTCTCTTATGATGAATCAATGAATATATAAAATAAATAACAATGGCAGGCCTGTAGAACAGACTGACTAGAGGTTCGCACAGGTTCCTTAGCCATATATTGTGACTCACAGGATGTTTACTAAAATCCTGCTGTTTGTTGTGGGTCTGTTTCGGGACGGCAGGAGAAAAGAAAGAACCAAACATGCTGCATGTGCTAATATGACTGACTGCACCTGTCAGACTGTATAGTTGCCCACAATGTGCAATAGATCTGCAGCTGTTCATTCTGACAGCTGCATTGACTATGACTTTGCACAAGGAGTTTTTCTGGATAATCATGGCAAAAACCAGTACACTTGACATCACATCCTGGGAAGAGTCACGGGTTAGAGTCCAATTACAAGTGCAACTGCAAGAAAATGAGCTACTTCTTAGAGAGGAACTCTCTTCCCCATGAAGAAGACTTGTGAGAACATTGATTCTGCGGCGGAGGGGGGGGGGTTGTAGCCAACAGCTTCAAACAAAGCCCTTCCCAGTCTGCCACAGAGACCCCCCCCCCCCCAGTCTGTCAGGAAAAAAATGCCAACTCAAGTGACATGTGAGCTGCCTGCAGGATTGCAGAAAAGATGCATCTTTGATAATTTATTTAAGATGTGGCATTGTTGGTTATCTTTTGAAGCAACTCTTTAATGTTGGATAGATTTGGGATATATTACTACCACAAAGTCCTCTGTGGGTGAGCCCAGTTCTTCTTAATATAAATAGATACATTAATATTTTGGTTTAATGTAAGCTTTGTTACCTTTGTTAAAGGTCAGTTTTCTCCCTTCTGAGAATTGCAAGACTGGGATCACACCACTGGCATGAAGCATGTGTTTTAAGTAATTAATTTAATGAATTATTTACCTGTGCGCTCTTCCTTTGAGAATGTTTATTTTCTCCCCTGCTCCCAGGTGGCTGGTGCTGGCCATTGCCATGGCACGTTTTTACTTGGAGAACGGAACACACAAAGGCTTATACAAAAGCATTCAAAAGATACTTAAATTTTTCCAGACTTTTGCTTTGCTTGAGGTAAGATTTTAAGTGACCTACCATTTTTGCCTAAGTAAATAGTTTAACCAAGGGCGAATAGACATATGAACATTGTTTAGAGGATACATGTTCCATGTGTTTTTCTTTTCTTTTAAGGGGATGTTTCAGCTAAAGAGAATGGGCTTGGTTTATACAGAATGAGTCTTACTGTGTGTGGAAAGGAGTGTGGAGGGGAACCCCTGAAAATGGCTTGATTTTGAAGTGCCAAGCCACTTACTGATCCATGCCTATTTTAATATCTTTATTCCTATTTTTAAGAGGTGCTGTTGTGTATTTTGGGATCTATATATTAACATTTTAAAACATCCACTTCTTCATTTAAAACGTTATTTGTATAATTTTAAACTGCTGAGGTCTAGAGAAGAATTCATTCCTCTGCATATTTTTTATTATAGACATAATTTACCCCATCCCCCCAAAGCAAGCATATTTTAAGGTATCCCGCATACTAAGGGGATGGTATGCAAGTGCTCTTATTATAGACATAATTTACCCCACCCCCCAAAAGCAAGCATATTTTAAGGTATCCAGCATACTAAGGGGATGGTATGCAAGTGCTCTGTTATGCCAGGAAAAGGACGTAAGTTGCATTACTTTTTTGTTTGGTGACCAACTTTACAGTGGTCAGCATCTGGACTATGGGTCTCTGCTGGTGGGTCTAACTTCATTTCCATAGTTGTGGCACTTTCCACTTGGCAGTGGGCATGCTGAGTGGCAGCTGGGTTCCAGCACTGTGGTTGAGGGTAGATGTCATTTATTTATTTAGAAGGTTTCTGTGCTGCCTCTTCAGAGTCCTGCTCAAGGTGCCTGACAATTAAAAAAAACCCCACACATTAAAAAGCCATTAGAAATAAGCAGCATAAAACTGAAGTGGACCATTAAAAAGCTATAAGATAAAACACCTCATTAAAAAGGCTGGGTAAAAAGAAGTGTTTTGACCTGACACCTAAAAGAAAGTAAAGTGGGCACCAGACAAGCCTCAAGGGCATTCCAAAGGCAAGGTGCCACCACAGAAAATGCCATGTCTACTCACCACCCACGTCACTTCTGAATAGGATTGCCAACCCCCAGGTTGATCTCTGGAGATCTCTGCAGAGAATGGCCACTTTGTAGGGTGGTCTCCGTGGCATTATAGCTTGCTGAGGCCCTTCGCCTCTCCAAACCCCGTCCTCCCCAAGCTCCATGCCCCAAATCTTGAGGTATTTCCCAAGTAGGAGTTGGGTGAACAGTGCTGGGCTTAAGAGGCATATCTTAAATGATAGGCTGGGTAGTATGTGAGGAGATGGTCCTTAAGATCTCCTGGCTCCAAGCCATTAGTCTCCTCCCGCATTGAGATAGTTTCAGAGGGTAGCTGTGTTGGTTTGCAGTAGAACAGCTGGACTGAGTGCAATAGCAGCTTAGAGACCAACCAGATTTCCAGGGTATAAGCTTTCAAGAGTCAAACAGGGATGCCAGCATCCAGGGGGGACCTGGGGATCCCCCAGAATTACAGCTCATCTCCAGACTACAGCAATCAGTTCCCCTGGAGAAAATGGATGCTTTGGAGGGTGGACTCTGTGGCATTGTACTCCACTGTTGTCCCTGTCCTCTCAAGGCTCAATCCCCAAATCTTCAGGAGTTTCCCAACCTGGATCTGGCAACCCTACGCCCCCCATCCCCCACCTGAGGCCAACGGGGACCTGGCAACCCCAAAAAAGTGGCCTCAAATCTACTGGCCTCAAATCTACCTGTCGTTCTACATTGTACCACTCAGAAGGTTCAGGGCTTGATAAGCAGCTTCCTGATCTCCAGCCATAGATCTTAGCTGTCAGGGCAATTGCCCTATGGTGCTTATCTACTGAAGGTCAGGAAGGTTTTTGCAAGGAAAAGGGGGAATTTCCTAGTAATTTGCACAACACATCTACAATTTTGTTTGGCCATCTTGTTTTGCTATTTATGAAACCTAAGGTCACATTAGGTGCATGTACTCCCTTTTTTATTGTCATGGGTCCTATCTCCAAATTGCATTTCCGTTGTTCATGATTATTACGCTTAAGGTGCATGTACTCCCTTTTTTATTGTCATTTATTACGCTTCTTGTGTAAAAATTAAGGGGATTTATTTCACTCTCTATCTATGTATCTATCTATTTGTATACAGCTTAAGAGAAAGATAGGCATTGGATGCTTTGTTTTATGCTACCCATGAGAAAATCTTTGGAAAGGAGCAACAACCAGGATGAGAACTGAAGCTCAGCAGTGTCTTTTTTTATACTGCCATAAAACCGTTTTGAATAAACCATCTTGTAATTCTGTCTGTCTCTTTTTAAATTTACAGATAGTCCACTGTGCAGTTGGTGAGTTTTTGTCTCAGTTTCTCAATTAACTAGCCTGGTCCTGCCCTATGGGACAAAGATGACCTATTTCTCTTTTTAAGGGTTAGTGCACACCTCTGTGCTTGTGACTGGGGTCCAAGTGAGTTCCAGAATCTTCATGGTGTGGTTCATTACACATAGTATAAAGCAGGTAAGTGTCAGAGCAATAAATAAATATATATATATTTGTCTCTGCTGGACAAAGACAGACCTATTTGACAGTATTAGTAAAGCATGTTTGGTGGCAAGTCATAGTCTTTTAAAAATCATTGTAGGCACATCTTCTACAGGTCAGTAGAAATCCATAAGGATTGAGAAGGACTGTGAACAGAGCTGCAGGTAGAACTTCGAAGTTCCTCAGTTGTGTCTGCCTCATGCATGGGAGATGAGGATTTAAAAGCCACTGGAGATGGATATCCGAGCTATCATGGCTTGTTGCCTGGTGTGCTCTGTCTGTTAAGCAAGATCAAAGGCTGACACGTCTCTTCTTCAGTCTATTCACCCAGCTGTCAGCTGTTCCCGTTCCAGAGAGAACTTAAAATTAGCACATGTTGAATGGGCTAAGTAGAAAAGCCTTAAGTGAATTATATTTTACACAGGTGTTTTCCTAGTTGCATTGATTCCATTCTTTTATTTATTTATTTTTAAAAGTAAAAAAGAAAAGGGGAACGTTGGCTCTCTAAAGCTGAATCCCCAAAAATCTTGGTGGTGTCTCAGTTGCTACTGGACTCAAATCTAGAAATAAACAGGAATCTTACAGTACTGTAAAGAGCAATACATTTCTACTCTGGCATAGGTTTTTACAGAGGCCACTTTGGTAGCAAAAGCTACTGAGCTGCATATTATAAAAATGATTAAGTCTAGTTGATTTGGCTTGGACACCAGCATCCTCTCAGGCAATATAAATGTAAATGCGTAATACGGAAGCCAGTCTGAGAGAGTTGTTTGTTCTAGAAAACTCATGGATTAAAATAAGAATGCAAGTAATTTAAGGGTTGATATGCCTGCTGAAAGAAATGTAGAAACAGAACTCCTTGAGATTAATAAATTCAAATTTTGCATTTGGTTGTATTAGATTAGGATATGTCACTTCAGAATGCTGATTGTGGTATGTAATGATTTACGTACAGGGAAAGCCTAGCAGAGTTTGAGGTAATAGCTTAACAAAATTTTATTTTTAGTAAAAAAAGCTTCTGAGATTTTAATTAGGGTAGATTTATTTATGTGACTACGGGGAGTCTAGCATAGTGAATACATTCAGGATCTTTAAAAATTCGACCCCAAAACTTACGTATGAAATAAGTGGGAAACTGGTTCATGGAACAGCAGCTAGATTAGAGATCAGAAACATAAGGCATTATTATAGCCATGTTCCTAAACAGGGAAGACAGTCCATAGATCTTCAGAATGGTCAGTGGCTATTGGATGAAGATCTGCTAGGATGTAATGTTGTGCTTTAGTGTCTCGGGTTATCCTTGGGCTTCTGGCTGCTGGGCTCTGGAAATAAATAGAGCTATGCATTCTCTGTATGTTTCTTCAGAAGCAGGTAGCAACAATTGCTGGTTTGACTTGATGCATTAATATCTGTCCAGAATCCTACTGCATGCTGCAGTAGCTGCTGTACAGCTAAAGTTAAGATTTTTTTTCCCGTCCTGTTACATTTATCTGGAGAACTAAACGTGTGCTGAATGGTCTCCTGCTGGAAATCACTGAGTGCTAAAAATGCTTAAACTTGGCTGGATGGCACACAGCACTTTTCAGCAAATGCCTTACAACATCCCACGTAATTTGTTCCCCGCGGGATGTTTACAGCCGGAATGAATGCTAGCTATAGACCAGTGTTTCCACCTCTTTTTTTTTTTTAAAGTGCTGAGCCATTAAACTGTCTCTTTTCAGCAAATGCCTTACAACATCCCACATAATTTGTTCCCCGCGGGAGTCATCGTTGTAGCTTTTTAGAATTTTTTGATGTTTACAGCCGGAATGAATGCTAGCTATAGACCAGTGTTTCCACCTCTTTTTTTTTTTTAAAGTGCTGAGCCATTAAACTGTCTCTCCAGCAGGTGGCACAAGCCTACTTGTTTATGTTGAATGAAAGGCTACTGCCTCATTCCTTCATTCTTGCTTGCTGGTCAGAATTCTTGGACTCTTGTATATCTTATTGTCTTCTGTGTCCTGTCTCTGTAGCATACTTGAATACAAGGACAGTCTCCCCAATAACAGCAGCATATTAAGTTTAAGCTAAACTGATAAATGCAACTTACAGTATCTTTGCACTTATTTGAAGTGGTTATTGCTTTCCCCAAACAGTGTCATAGCTTGCCTTCCATAAAGGTAGACCAAGGTGGGTAGCCGTGTTGGTCTGAAGCAATAGAACAAAGTTAGAGTCCAGTGGCACCTTTAAGACCAACAAAGGTTTATTCAAGGTGTGAGTTTTCGTGTGCATGCATGCTTCGTCGGACAATGAAATGGAATTACATATCATAGTTGTATATATAGGAGTGGTTTGTTAAATTAGCATGCAAAATAGTGAGGGCACGCTTTTTTAACAGATCAAAAGAGTAACAAGCTTAGTTCCTGGTCATCATCTGTTTCGGTTCAACTGGGGGGGGGGCAACATTTTACAGCATCTTGGCTGTGTAGAGTGTCCCAAAGGGGACAAGGGAAACACTCTACACAGCCAAGATGCTGTAAAATTCACCTCCATGCTTGAAAGGAGATGGATGGGGTCTAAGGATGGGATTCTCACAAATTAGGGCACATGAGACTCCAGTTCTAACATATTTATTACCTATTACAAACCACTCCATATATTAAAACTATGATATGTAATTCCATTTCATCGTCTGATGAAGTGTGCGTGCACACAAAAGCTCACACCTTGAATAAAACTTTGTTGGTCTTAAAGGTGCGATTGGACTCTAACTTTGTTCTGGTGTCATAGCTTGTATAGGTTTAGGATTTCCATTCAAATTGTACAACATAGCAGTAGTAGGGAAGAAGAGAGTGAATTCATGGTTATCACTGCAGGCAATTAGTAGGACCAGGTAAATTGGGAATAGGGTCTGTGTCAGGGATGCCCATTGTGGTGCCCACTGATGGGTTTCCTGGTGCCCATTTTCTTCTTTAAGGCATCTCTGCCCAAAGCAAATGGTGAGGCCTGGCTTACTTCCATATCACAGGAGCAGGAGGTGCTTCAGAGTAACCCAGGAGGCATCTTTATGTCTTCAGGGAGCACCCATTCAGAAACAGCTGCTTCCACCTTACAACCTTCCAAACGCTTGTACTTGGCTCCAGCCCTCCTGGCAGTCATTCTGAGTGGCTCCCACTCGCTGATCTCAGAACTGCAGAAGTGCCCACAGGCTGATAAAGACTGGGGCCCCTGCTCTGTGTGGAGGGATGGCGAAGGCTGAAAGGATAAGAAACCCTCTTCAGTACGGGAGCCTCCTCAGCCTGAGGGACAAATGAGGTGAGATGCTTGACCTGTCTTCCAGTTTTTTAAAAAAACTGAAGTACAGTTTTTAGTGACTTGTTACTGAAGTAACTTGTCTTTCCCACAAAGTGGAAACTTTGATTGTGCATCCTTTGATGAGATGTGCAACTTCTGCTTCACATGTTATACATCCTCTGAAGAGCCTTGCACTCAGCAGAAAAATCTTCTGGAGATCCCTGATCCAAAAAATATCTGGCTGTCCTCGACCAGAGCCAGGGCCTTTTCAGTCCTGGCTCCAACCTGATGGAACTCTCTGGAACCTAGTTTAGTTCCTCAGGGCTTGTAAGGCAGAGATGTTCCATCAGGCCTATGGTTGAGGACAGCAACATTTTTTAATTAGGCTGGCCTCCTTTTCTGTTCACTCCCCCTGGGGAAATTAAACTGATTTAGATGCCATCTGAAATTGTTACGGAAAATGTTTTACTGGTTTTACTGATTTTAAAGTTGATTATGCTTGTAATTTGAATATTGTACACCACCCTGAGCCCTAAGTATGGGGGAGGGCGGTCTAAAAATCCAATAAATAAATAAACCAATAAATAAAGTGTGGGGAAAGAGCACCCTATCCTTCTGGTGCTTTGTAATGTAGGTATCTGCTCTGAGCCACATAATGTATTTATTTATTTACTTCATTTATACCCTGCCATTTCCCCCAGTGATGACCCAAGTTGTTCTCTTCTCCATTTTATCTTCACAACAGCCCTGTGAGGTAGGTTAGGAGGAGAGAGTGTGACTGGCCTCAGTTCACCCAGCAAGCTTCCATGGCAGGGTGGTAATTCAAATGTGGGTCATCCAGATATTAACCACACTGATAACAAATACCAACAATCATTGTAACTTGGAAGCTTACCCTTTTAGTTCAAGTTGAATACCCTTCACTTGTTTTGTTTATTTGGCTGTGTAGTTGGCTGTCATTGCATTCTGGTGTGTATGCATGGTATTTGTGTTATGTCACTTAAAAGTGTTCATGCGCTAAATATTTTGAAGTCCTTGCACACTGTGCACACAAAATATAAAATTGAAAATCACATAAATCTTGATTGAGCATATCCTTAATCAGGGAGAACAAATTATTAGGAATCATAAATATAACCCAATATTTTTAATATTATCACATTTACAATTAAAAATTGAGAAGCAGTCAGAACATATAGCTTCAGTCATAACTCAGTTATACAGATGTACTTTATGTCCAAATTAAGTCAGATGATGCTGGATTGTAGTCTTAGATGTTTGTGTTGACAAGAAGAGTATTTGGTCTAGCTGCTGTCATACCGGTTTTGAGTTGTGGTTGGAGTAATAATCTGTTCAGTACTTGATTATTTAGTTATTGATACCTTGCTTTTCTCCCCAGTGGAGACCCAAAGTGGCTTACAAAATGTATTTATTTATATCCTGCTTTTCTTCCCCAATGGGGACCCAAAGCAGCTCACATCGTTCTCTCCTCCATTTTACCCTCACAATAACCCTGTGAGGTGGGTTAGGCTGAGAATGTGTGGCTGGTCCAAGGTGACCCAGCATGCTTCCATGGCAGAATGGGGATTGAAACCTTCGTTTCTCAGATCCTAGTCCAATACTTTAACCACTACACCACATTTTTCCTTTTCTCCATCTATCCTTATGACAACAGCATGCTGAAGTAGGTTTGGCTGAAAGAGAGTGACCAACCCAAGGAGACTCAAGCAAGCTTGGTCACAAAGTAGGGATATAAACCTGGATCTCTCAAATCCTAGTCAGGGGGCCAACGTGCTTGCATCACTTCTAGATGACATGGGCACACTGGGGGCAGGGCCCTGACGCCGCTCCAACCAGTTTAGTCGGGATGGCTTCTTTGCTTGGGGGTTCAGTTCAGGGTTTGGTTCAGGGCCACCCAGCTCGCAAGCCCCGGACAAAACTGGGCTTCCCTGGTCTGTGCCCATCCCTAGTCACGGGTTTTAAAATATCTCCTTCACAACTGTATATATTAGCCTTTCTTGAGAATTTTAGGTGGGTGATAATAATAATAATGCTGTCAAGTTGCAGAAAACTTATGGCAACCCTTCACGGGCAAGAGACATATAAAGGTGGTATGCCATTGCCTGCCTCTGCATAGCAACGCTGGTCTTCCTTGCTGGTCTCCCATCCAAATACTAACTATGGCCAACCCTACTGAGCTTCTGAGCTCTGAGAAGTTCAGGCTAGTCTGATGCTAACAAATCAGTCCAAATTGATAGCCATGTGTAAAATACCTGTTAACAAAACAAATGAAATTTAAATAAAAAATCTTCCTACAGCCTGATTTACAGTAGTGATAAACATCTGGCTGTACTCCCTGACTGTATGTGATAACTTGAAAATGCTTGGCATGTCCGAAAATGTGGTTTTTGAGTTTTGTCACTGGTTCACTTTGTTAAGAAGTGGTTATGGTCTTCTTTTTCTGTACTTGTAACAAAAATCTGTATCGCTCTATTTTATTTCACAGAATCCCTGGAGCTTTTATTAGTCTTCAGGCATGGAAGTCTATTACAAAATTCTTTCCATTTTAACGAAAAGAAAATTACTTGTCTGTAATTCCTCTTCTCAGAAGGTAATAAATAGATACCCACTCACCTTCTTCCCAAAGTTGGAAATTAATTTGCTGTTGCTTATTACATCTGTTGTTTGGTACAACTTGACGTCTTGATGTAGTGGGTAAATATATGCTACCTGCTGAGGCCGTTCAATGACTCAGACATTCAACATACTGTGGACGAGTGTATTTCCTCACTTTTGGTATACTTCATAGAGAGTTCTTGTCTGGTTCCTATCTAAGGGGACTGTGATGCCAATAATCTTCTTGAAGCTACCTGAAGCTGCTGCGTCTAGGTCCCTCACCTTGCCTATTTAAATAATTCTGTACCATCTACAACTTTTACCTCAGTAATTCCAATCCCCGTCTGTTAAATAAACTTATTGTTTTGTTTTACTGTTAAACCGTCTCCAGTGCCATTTCAAAAGGGAATTAAGAAGAGGGCTCCTGCTTTTCCACAGAAAGTTCCTTGGGCTGGGTAAAAAGCCAAATTATATTCTGTAAACAGGGTTGGACAGCAAGTCTTTTAAAAACCACATCCATTTACACGCTACTAGGGCTGTTCAGTCAAAGCAGGGAACCAAAAGAATTTTGGCGGGAAAATCAGCCTCACAGTAAAGAACAAACAAGCAAGGAGGTGGTTTCCAGTAATAGAATCAACCAAACATACAAAAGCAACCTTGAAGAATGTAAACAGAATCTAGTTTTTTACAAAAATATTTGTAATGATATAAGATAAGTGCAAAGTACAAATAAAGTACAAAGCGTGTTATTACATTAAAAGATATACAATTACAAGTTCTGCTGAGGTCCATGAGACTAGTTCAGTAGAACTTATTTCTTGGTAAGCGTGTTTAGGACTACAGCCTTAGAAAGCAACCCTAAACAGGTCTGTTCAGAACTAAGTCCCATTTTATTCTATGGGGATTACTCCCAGGGAAATGCCCATAGGAATGCAGCCTTAATGTATCAGAAATGAAACCCATGTTGGAGAAGGAGAAGCCAGCAAAATCATATTAAATCGGAGAAATAAAGAAAATGACAGAAGACTTGTGTGAATGCAGAAAAAGGATATGCAAACAAATATAGTGGCCCTGTTGAAAGTTGTATCAATTATATAAATGAAGCCTTGCAATTAAGCAATATAAGATTTATTTGAGATGCTAATTGAAATGGTTGCTGGGAATAGAAGAAATACACTAAACAGCTCTGTGTGTATGTGTAAATTTTGTACTTTCTTTTTCCATTCAGTGGGCATTTTTTCTGTATGGAAGTTGGATGCAAAGCAGCATGACCAAAATGCTGATTTTGGTGCATTGTCTTGACAGAATCTATTTCAGATTTTTATTGCAAATAAAGGTGCAGAAAATGTTGCTTCTTTATACTTCTACAGATCCAGAATGAGGAGAGCGTTATTCTTTTTCTGGTCGTATGGACTGTGACAGAGATCACTCGATATTCCTTCTACACATTCAATATGCTCAACCACTTGCCGTACTTCATAAAATGGGCCAGGTGGAGAATGTTTTACAGTTTAGTTTCTCATTGTTCCGTGCATGCTAATTTCATGCATGCAGATTAGCCATGAGAGCTGAGTTTATGGTTTTTAACTTGGTCTTCGAAGAAAGAACATTTTCGTTTCATTACAATGCAGTCCTATGCAGAGTTGAAGTCCAGTGAAATCAGTAGGCTTAAACTGGAGGAATTCTGGATAGGATTGCTTCTGGGGTTTGCTGAGTGCTTTAGTTAACCCGCCCAGTGCTCGTGAAATTAGTACTTTTAGAAGTTCTTATATGTCTTTCAAAAGGTGCACACAGAATATAAAGTGTACATTTACAAGTGGTTGTGGGGTTTTATTTGGGTATTACATCATTTTAGGGTGGCCTGTAGAAAAATTCATCCTTTTTAATATTATCTATGTGATGCTTTCTACCATGTCTCTTGTGGATCCACAGTTCTGCTATATTTTGGTATAATGGTACACCAGTTAATACAAGTGATATGGCAACTAGAAAGGTGATTCTAAAGTTGCCAGCTCCAGGTTGGTAAATACCTAGAGACTTTGGGGGTGGAGCTTAAGGAGGGCAGGGTTTGGGGAGGGGAGGGACTCCAGTGGGGTATAAGGCCATAGAGTCCACCTTTCAAAGCAAGCCGTTTCTCCAGAGTGTATTGATCTCTGTCACCTGGAGATCAATTGTAATCCCAGATCTCCAGCCACCACCGGGTGGCTCCCATTTTCTAATGAGTCAAGAGGGAACTCTGTGTAGGCTTTTACCAAGTTGTATTTGGCTAGCATGGCTTGGCATTAACCAAGCCTTGACAAAAGTATTTGGAAAGGTTAACACTGAGGTGATCAAGAGTCAGAGTAACAAGAGATTATTAAGTTATATTTGGGCCTAGTTTATTATTTTTCCAAAGTAGATTTGATTTATCTAGCTAATATTTATAGCCATTCTTCAAATAGCATATTCTGATCAGACAGAATGTGGCTCAAGTTTGGTTAGACTAAAGTGTGAAATTCAGAAAGCTGACTGTTCTATGTCACGGAAGGGCTATATGCATGTGTAAAGTGTCGCCAAGTTGCAGTCAATTTTGGCAGCCCCAGCAAGGGGTTTTCAAGGCAAGTGAGAAGCAGGAGTGGTTTGCCATTGCCTTCCTCTACAGAATTTTCCTTGGTGGTCTCCCCTCCAAGTAACTACCCTGCTTCGCTTCCGAGCTTTGATGAGATTGAGCTATACTGCGTCCCCTTCCCTCCATGGGGTGCTATATATTTGTAGATTATTACTTTGCAAAGTAAGATTATATATTCACTATACATTTCTTGGGGCACAATACAAATTTGTAACGTCAGGGAAAAAAAACCCTTTTCTGAAATGACATAAATGGACTATATCATGATACTGGGTTTGGAACACACGCTTCTGGGTTTCAAACCCCAGAAAAGTTTACCCATTCTTCTCCCCCCTCATGCTTGATGTGAAGGGAACTTTAAACAAAGTACTGCCTGTCACTCAAGGAAATTGGTATGATGCTGTGGGTAGCCTATTGTAACTACAGGTTCAAGTCTCCACTATGCTGTGAAGATCATTTTGTGAGCTTAATCTAAATTCCAGGATTTATGAGATGCTGCAAAGAAAGAGTAGGATAGAAATATAGCAAATAATGCATAAATCATCATTAAAAGAGCGCATGTCTTTTTGTTGGGGAAGAAAACCCTATTCCTATATGAGATTTATGGGTTGTGGAAACATGCTCAAACAAATTAGCCTATTCTATCCTGGGCTTTGCCTCTGTCCTGTATTTCTCTAAACTGAGATTTTAAGATTCCTAGAAATGAATTTGATATTTTTCCATTTAAGTGCTTTTTAAACTCTTTGTGATCCTCTCGTATAAATGTATTCCAGTAGAGTAGCCTCTTCAGTGTGTTGCAGCAAAAATAAACAGGAGTTTTAAAGCACCATAAAGTTTTTATCTTATATAAACTTTTACCCATTTTATCAGATGCTTAAAAGTGTGTTAGATTATGTGTAATAGTTTGGATATCACCTCCTGGTTTTGCTGCCAGAGAAGCTTTGCCTGCCTTTGTTTGATGTGAATATGTATTGCTTCGCTTCAGTTTACTGTGCACCATTCTGTGGAGGGCAGTTGTTTCTTGCCATTGTTCCTAAAGTATATTGCTGAGTTCTTTTCTGGGTTCCTCTTTATAATTCCACTAATCCATTTAATTTCTTCTTGCATGCCATGTAGTGCATTCTTGTTGACCTGTGTGCTTTCCCAGCCCCTATGGGAGTTTCAAGTTCCAGGGCTTCCACTTTTAACTCTCACTTGTTTGGGTCATGGAATGCAAAGCAGCCATTTTCTCCTAGAAATGATCTATGTGGTCTGGAGATTGGATGTAATTCCAGGAGATCTCCAGGCCCCACCTGGAGGTTCTAGTAACAAATAAATATACACTGCAAAAACCTTTTAGCAAACTAATGTGTTCTATTTATGGTCATCATTTAGTAAAGTGCATAGTGTATCATTATTTCATCCTAGTCAGGTATAAATATTCATTATATTCAATATAAATATTCATTATATTCAATAAGCAATAACATTCAATACATACAGATTCCTAACTACCAAACAATTTTGCATCAGTGTTTTAAAAGTCAAGCCCCAACGGGAATTTCTAGAATTATAAGCCCGCTCCTCCTTGCATGAAGTCTTCCAAAAAGGGGGACAGCCTTCTTGTATGGATTCTTTTTGCCGGTCCTACAAAAGACACATTATGCGGCTAACATTCATGGACGGAGTACTCCTTGTCATTGCAGGGTGGGGTTAGGGGTTCCTGGTTAATTTACAATGCTGTTTTTTCTGCATGCCTGGAGAAACCCCCAAACTATGCAGTTCCCCATACTATGTCTGTGGGAGGCCTGGTTTCACTGCTTTCATAATTGGCAATGGGCACAGAAATACCAGACTACTTTTTTTTTTTTTGCCATCAATTCACAGCTGACTCATGGTGACCCTGTGAGGTTTTCAAGGCAAGAGATATTTGGAGGTGGTTTGCTATTGTCTGCCTCTGCGTCACGATACTGGCATCCCTTGGTGGCCTCTCTTTCAAATACAGAGCTGGGCCAACTCTGCTTAGCTTCTGAGATTTGACAAGATTGGGCTAACCCTTCTAAGTCCATTAGAGTCAATGGACTTTGAAAGCACTACGCAAAATGTGAAAGCACTATGCAAAAGCTAAATCTTGTTGGTGTGCTATTTAATAACCAAAGCAGAAAAGTGAGCAGTTCAGAGAAAATTCTTGGATCTATGTAACTATTTGTTTATTTTCTCCAGGTACAATTTTTTCATCATTTTATATCCTGTGGGAGTTGTCGGTGAGCTTCTAACAATTTATGCTGCCTTACCTTATGTGAAGAGATCAGGCATGTTTTCAGTGAGGCTTCCCAACAAGTATAACATCTCTTTTGACTATTACTACTTCCTTCTTGTCGTCATGGCCTCCTATGTACCATGTAGGTATTAGTAGATACGTATTTAAACATATTGTTTTTGTTGGTACATTATCTGTCTTAATAACAGTGGAGTAAAATTTTGTTTATTATTAATAGCAATAACCATATTTTGTATTCTGTCTTACTTCCAAAGAGCTGAAAACGGCATACTCAATTGTTAAACAGTTACCAAGATAGTAATGATCCTACTCCAGCTTCTTTATAACATAAAGAACAATTTTGCCTAATAGTCATGCACAATAATCTGAAACCATTTTTTTATTTAAATTTCCTTAGCCATTTGGTGTGTTCTACTCAGTCACATGAACACCCCCACCCTGTTTTCAAAGATCCCGGGGGGGGGAGCGGTCTCAAACCTCTCAGTAGGGTTGCTAGTCCTCTGGTGCTATGTAAAACTATAACACGGAAAAGAAAAAAAAAGAAAAGAAATTGATCACAAAATAGGACTGTTTGCGTTGATGTATCTGTTGGCATGTGTTCATCCTTAGAAGTTTGATGAAATGTTTGTAAATAGAAACTTTTGTTGAATGTGATAAGGTGAAGAGGTTACACTAAGCTTTGATAATACAAAGACATAGTTACTATATCACAGTTGTTTTTTGTTGTTTACCAGTCCTCTGGTGGGGGCAGGGGATTCCCTGTCCCTCAGCTCTTGTTTCCTACATAACTCAGAGTGGCAACAGTAATTTTAACAAGGCTGTTGCACCTATGCCTGATATCACTTCTAGGTAAAACCTGGAAGTTAAGTCAGTCCTCTCTAGGAATCACCAGAAAGTCCATAGTTTTACCATGGATTTTCCAGTGATTCCTAGATAGGACTGGTGATGAAAGCCAATGTGGTGTGATGGTTAAGAGTGGTGGACTCTAATTTGGAGAACCAGGTTTGATTCCCCACTCCTCCACATGAAGCCAGCTGGGTGACCTTGGGCCAGTCACAGTTCTCTCAGAATTCTCTCAGCCCCGTCTACCTCACAAGATCCCTGTTGTGGGAAGAGGAAGGGGAGGTGATTGTAAGCTGCTTTGAGACTTCTTAGTGTAGAAAAAAGCAGGATATAAAACCCAACTCTCCTTCTTCTAGGTTTTCCCCAGAAGTGATACAGTGTTGTTGCCAACAGCCACCCCCTCATGTCCCTGCCCTCTGGGCTCCCATGGGGTGCCAGGCTGGGCTTGGCAGCTCTTTCACACAGACCAAACACCAAATCACATGAATTTCTGTTTATGTATGTAGGCTGGGCCATTGTCTTAAGTTGTAGCCATTACCACACAGGCTCATTTAAAGAAAGTTCAGGCCAAGGAAAACTCAGTTCGATCACTCTTCCTTCAGTATGACAACTCATGAAGCAGTGGGAGGAAGAGAAGGAAAATTGGGGGGAGACGTAAGAGTATTGGCAAATTGCTGCTGAATGTATATCTATATACCAATGGTGCCTTGCTTGCCTCCCTACATTTCCAAGATTGATCAGAGCCCCAGACCTCTGTCCTCCTTCTCACTAGACTTGTTTCCACCTTTTATGTGATAATTATGCTTTGTACATCTTGACATGGCCCTTTCTTTTTCTTGTTTTACAGTGTTTCCACAATTGTACTTCCACATGCTACGTCAGAGAAGAAAAGTGCTTCATGGTGAAGTGATTGTAGAAAAGGATGATTAAAACAACCCTGTAACCCTAGTGGGTTTTTTTCAGAGTAACAAACCAAAACTATATTGTGTTGCACGAGTCCAAGTTTGAAATCATGGAACAAGACTAACTAGTGCACAAAAGAAGTCTAGATCATGCTATTTCATTACAGGAATATTTTCAGACTTCAGTTTTCAACTTCGTCCCTCCCCCCATTTGCTTTCAGGCAAGTTATGTGGTTCCCAGTATAAGAAATTGCAAAATATTATGGTTCCATGGGCTGCTTAAGAAGCCTTCGATTATATTATTGGGAGGACATTGACTATACTGGGAAAGTCAGTGAAAAGTATCATAAGTTTAGGTATGCCCCAGCATGGAACTAGAGAAGTCCATGCATGCAACCAAAGAGGTCCATGCATATATTTGTATTTGAAAAACAGAGCCTTATCACCATCTTCCAGATGTAGTCCCTTGTACATTTTTTTTTTTGCATTCCTGTCAGGAGACACTGGGCAATGATTAGGGTTCATTTGCCTGCTTATGGTGGGAGATCTCCAGGTAATTGTAGCTTTTTTCTGCCAAAGCTCAGCTGATCTGTGAACAGAAACTAGGGCTGAAGTGGGGGGCACAATCATCCTGGGGAGAAAAATAAAAAATAAAAATAAGGTCTCTGTTGCTTACTGGAAGTGCTGACCATAGAGTTCCTGGTGCTACATAGAGCTACCTGGTAGTGACAAGGATAGCTCTAGCAGTTACCAGAGTTGTGATGGTAAGATTACCATAGAGTTTCTGACAATTGCTCTAGGAATCACCAGGAACTCTGTGGTCAGAACTTCTGGTAAGTAGCCAAGGTCTTCCTTTCTTTTTAATTTTTCTCTTGGGACATTGCGTCCCCCCCAACCAGTGGCCAGGCACTGCCTGACAACCCTAGCAATGATGTGAAAAGTAAAGGTGAAAAGCCCCGTGTGCACTTGGGAACACCCCAAACAGCCCTTTGTTCTCCCAGCCTACTTATTTTCAGTGTCTGTCTGGGGCCACAATATTGTATTTCATCAAGATTACAGAAAGAGAGTTCATTGACTATTGAATCAATTTGTCAATTTTATACATTCTAAGCATAGGATCAGATTGTGTGATTATATAGAATTTTTCAATTAAAGAGGCAAACCTGGGCTCGGTCTTAAGTGCAGCCATAATTTAAGAAGCTCTTTGCAAATAATTGCCCATTATTTTAATTGCCCATTATTTACTAATATATACTGTACTGTCCAGTGAATGGTTTTGCTCACTGTTTTAAATGAGTAGATGCATTTTTGTAAATACGTTGGAAAATGTGCCCAAACTTGGTTACTGTGTTCATATGTAATAGCAGTCCAGCATAAATTAGTTTACTTTGTCGTAGAAGGATTGTTTAAAAACCTGTTCTTAAATCCTGCTAGTTTAACATTTAATAGGAACCCCCCCCCCAAATCTCTCAACTAGTTCCATATACTCAAGGCAGCTTTGTACTGTCACATTGCAAACCACTGTTGAAATTGATGCCCTGTTGTTCAAAGGAAAAAAGTCAAAAATTGCACTCCGCATACTCAAATCATTGGGTATGCATAGTGCAAGTCTGAATCCCAGTCACTCTACCTT